GCCTCCGCCACCCGCAGCAACGCCGGAGCCAGCAGGGCAGGGGCCCCAGCCTGTCATTAGGGCCGAGCATCCCCCGCCAGGCTGTTTTCGCTATTCGCTTACTCATCGCGCTAATGATCGGGGTGCGGGTGCGCCGTCCTGTTGTGCCTGTTGCGCTCGCCGGCCGGGCCCCCAGCCCGCTCCTGCTGCCCGCAGGCTGCCCGACACACGGCAGGGAGCTTCGGGACGCCAGTCTCCCAGCCCCGGCCTCCCCTGCCTCGCTCCAGCTAGGAAATGGAATGCAAATTCGGTTTCAGGCTGTCTGGGCTGCGCCGGAGCCCGACGCCTTCGTGCGGCGCAGTCTGCGAGGTTTGGCAGGCAGGAGCGGCGGGGGCTGCCGGCAGCAGCGGGGAAGCGCCGCTCCCCCTTCCCGGGGGGATGCTCAGGAGCTCCGTAGGAGTCGCGGTCCTTGCGCTTCCCACCCGGCTGCCATCTCAGCAGGCTGCCGTCACGCCGAGCTGAGCCCTGACACACCGGCACCGCGGCCTCCAGTCCTCATTAAAATGGCAAATGGAGAGAGCAAATGTGGCACGAGTGACTGGAGCTGGGGCGCAGAGACGGCATCCCTCTCCAGAAGGAAATCTTCCCTCAGTGACAACGGCAAAATGATGCTTGGTGTGTTACCTTACCCCGGTAAGGACCTGGCATTGGAAAGGCACCTCCCGAAAGGACAGCGGTGCCTGCAGAAGGGACCCTGCTGGAGCACCCATCGTGATGGGGCTGTCACCTCTTCCAGATTAAAGAGGTTTGGAAGGCAGATCTCTGCGGGGTCTAACTTCAGGACTGACAGGGTGACTGCCAGTTCAAGCTGCAGATGGTACTTTCATCTTAACAATCTGAATTGCAAAACATGTTTTCTTACCATCTCCCTCCCTTTTGTATCCAGCCTTTTTGTCAGTTTTTATATAATAAAACCTACTTTAAAATGCTGCGTTTCGGTATTTTTGCTGAAATCCACTTTTTGGCTAAGTGGACTTTAACCCCACAGAAGAAAATTCCTATCATTTGGCACAGAACTGCACTCTTCACAATTCTTTGCAGAAAAGAAAGATATGTGAAAGCTGTGCTTCCTAAAAAACGTTAACCTATATTGTAGCTTAAATAACCATATAAGAAATGACATAGTCTGATTAGTTTTTTTTAAAGTCACATTTAATGTTAAGATTTTGTCTGTTTGCAAATGAGAAGTATTTAATTATTTTAGTACTACCCAACAAGAGCTGACAAGAACCATTTCTCTGGGAAATAAAACCGCAGAGGTAAAATCATTCTAAAGCAATTATTTAAATCAATCTGTTTCCTTGGAGCAGTTAATTTTGAGTTACTCATGTTGAAAAGTTCTATCTGTAACACAGGAAACATTAGGGCTTTACTGCCTGTAGCATGTGGGTCTGCCTTCCATCCATCCATCCATCCATCCATCCATCCATCCATCCATCATCCATCCATCCATCCATCCATCCATCCATCCATCATCCATCCATCATCCATCCATCCATCCATCCATCATCCATCCATCCATCCATCCATCATCCATCCATCATCCATTCATCCACCCATCCATCCATCCATCCATCCATCCATCCATCCATCCATCCATCCATCCATCCATCCATCCATCCATCCATCCATCCATCCATCCATCCATCCATCCCAAGTAAGTGCAAACCAGTATTCCCATGTATTTTGTGAATTTACTCCATTTCTTACATACATTTGTGAAAAAAACATAACAGCCCAAACCTCACAAAAGCAACAGCAAGACCCCCCACAACCATATCTTCACTTTTATACAAGTTGCATATGAGAATGTCCATGATTTGTGTGGGGATTGCATCTTGGATTCAAACACCAGATTTCTGGCTGCTCCAGAGTCAGTGCTTTGAAGCCTGTAGAGCTGCTGTGACCTTCAGCAGCTGGAGATCCGGCCCTGTGCATTTCTGATCCACTTTTGCTGACCCAGAGCAGGAAAGAAAATGCAATATTTGTTTGTGCCTTCATTGTCTACTGGCAGTTTCCACAAGGAATTTTTCAATGGATACACTTGTTTTCTGCTGGGCTCAGTGTTGACTTAACAGAAAAGCTTTTTATCTCCCTGGAAGCCTTTCTGCATATGACTTATACTATTTAACCACCCTTTTCTTTGCTGCTAATATAAAAAAAGCTGTGGGAGATGAAAATATTCCAAATGACACAGCAGAGCAGAGCAGGGACAGGGAACTTGTTGGAGATAGAGCTGAATTGTCCCCACTGAGGAGAGCACTGGAAACATCTGGGACAAAAGCAGCAGCACAGGCTGTGGGGTGAGCTGAAGAACCACTTCCATAATTCAGAGGACAGCAAGCAATGAATTTTTGGGTAAGGAGCCAGACAGCTCATAAGCAAGCTGAATGGGGCTATAAAAATGATTTGATATCAGGAAAAAGTTCTTCCCTGAGAGGAGTGTCCAGCATTGGAACAGGCTGCCCAGGGCCGTGGTGGAGTCAGCATCCCTGGAGGGATTTTAAAAATATGTAGATGTGGCACCTGGGGACATGGTTTAGTGGTGGCCTTGGCAGTGCTTGGTGATCTTAGAGGTCTTTTCCAACCTGAATGATCCTGTGATTCTATGGTAATTCCAGATTATTTTAGCTGTTGGTGAGGATGTCACCCTTTGGTGCTCTGGCACAACCACACAGCCACATCCTCACAGGTTCCCTGGCCCGGCACTCTTTCACAATAGTAAATTTATCATTCCTTCTATGATAGAATAAATGTTTTATTAATGTTCTACTCTCTAATCATAAGGAAGGAGTAGAGAATCTTAATTAAGTCATTAGCGGCTGTTATGAGCCTGTATCTCGTTCTGTAAACCTGAAAGAATAAATAGTATTAATACTATTAAAAATGTATAACTTTCCCCCATATTTTGTGTACATTTTAAAGTGTCTCAAGAAATTACATGAAGGACATTATGCAAAAACAAACCAATTAGGGTGTGGGACTGATTTGATCTGCCACAGAAAGTGCCAAAACACCAAATGTGCTGCTCCCCCTCCCAAAATGCCCCAACCTGAACGCTGTCAGCACCAAAGTGTGCATCTGGAAACAGCAATCCCAGGCCTTGGGAGCAGGAAGAAGCTTGCAGAGAAACCAAACCTCCTGCATGGAATCAGAGCTGTGCCATTCCATTGGCAGTGGGGTTTGACCCTTGTCAGTCTGCAGAGCCTCAAACATTTTCCTCTGGTGCCACAGGGTATCTAATAGGGGTTTAACCATGGGGCAGCAGGATGGCTTTTCTTAGCTGCCAGAGATTTGTGATCCTTCACAAATTCCTTCAGCAGTCCCTGGGCAGCCAGGACTCTGTAGTGGAAGTTTCACCAGCAACCAAAAGGAAACATCATAGAAAGGGCAGAGGAGGAGCAAACCTCCAAAGAATTTGGATCTGCCACCAACATTAAGAGTTCTGTCTGCTCACTGTATGACTGCCTGGAAAAGCTGGACACAACAGAGCACCACTGTGAGTTAATCCTTTCACATATAAAATCTCTCCATAGCTGCCCACTCAATCACAAGGCAAGAAAACAACAGGTACATTCAGCTTTAATGAAATAATCATCAGTTCTATGTACAGCTGTAACAGAGGGAAAACCAGCTACAAGAGAGGATGCAAACCAACCCCCTGACACAGAGCAAGTCGCAGGGCAGGGCAGGACTAAACATTTCTGCCATTCTCCTCCTTTTTTGAAGATGTGTTTCACCTAAAAGGCAATACTGAAATAACACAAAATCCTCCCAGAACAGCTTAGCAGGCTGATAGATGATGACAGCCTGGCCCTGTGGGGTTATTTTGTGTTTATTTACTGAAGCTTGGACATCCTCCTGTGCAGCTGACTCCAGTGAGATCCCACAGCAATGCTGCAGCCCTTTGCTCAGCACCAGCCTGCCACAGTGCCCAGTGTAATCCCATAAGCCACTCCCAGAGTCAGGATGGCTCTTCCCAGGGTGCTGTGGCAGCTCCAAAGGTACATCTAAAAGTCCTTTAAAAGTCCCTTTTTCAAAACTATGGCAAAATACCTGAAAGGACCAGTATGAAGTAAAAAGCCATTAAAATTGTACACACTGAATTATCAATAGCTGATAAAATTGTACACACTGAATTATCAATAGCTGATAACTTAATAAACAAATTCACTGGAAAAAAAAAAAGACACTTTTTTTTTTTCTTTACCACCCTCTGGTTTTTTTTAAGTTTTACTTGCACAGAGATGAGCTGTGGCTCTTGCTGCTCGCAGTCCTCTCGTGACATCGAGGAGATGTTTTAAGGAGGTTTAAACCACGGTTGTGCACCAGGTACAAGGGACAGCTGGACACAACTCCCAGCCACGCAGATGCAATCCCATGTCATTAAAAGGCCCCTTTCTCCTGGAGAGCTGCTAGTTGGAGGTGATGCTCGCGCACACACGCTAGCCCTGTGCAAACCCCCTTGGGGCAGGGCAGTTCACGGGGGTTTGACAGCAGTAGGCTTGTCCAGGCATTTTCCAGCCATGTCCTCAGGCCCTCATGTCTGGATTTTTTTCCCTGAGGACTTTGGTAAGATTGCTCCAGCATTTCCCTGCATGTTTCAGAGCGAGCTACATGGCGTGCCAGAGCCTGGTGGCAGCGAGCCGGGCATAATGCACCATTCCCAAGGGATGCCTGGGCTGGATGAAGGCAGGAGGGCTTTGCTGTGAGCGGGGAGCGGTGAGGGACAGCAGCCAGGGATGCCAGCGGCACTCACACCGAACCAAAGCAATCCCAGCGCCGGCAGCACACGGCAGCTTCCCAAACTGTGTTGACTGCTAACACGCATGCAGCTCACTGCTATTTATATCGCATGCCATGTATAAAAAATATGCTACATCTGAGGAGAGCTTCACCACGACAGCAGGATGGGCAAGGAGGGAGGCGAGGGAGGAGAGGGGCTGCCTGTGGCAGAGCTGCTCTCGCCCGGCCCAGCAGGGAGTTCTGCCCCTTGCCTTTCGTGGGGCAAGAAAGGCCCCGCAGCCAACGAGGCGCTGTCGCTTTCTTGGCATTGGCCCGGGGTCAGCAAGGCGAGGCTGATGCTGAGCTTGAGTGAATCTGGAGATGCACAGGCTGCTTGTGATGGGGGAGAGGCCGAGTGAAGGAGAGAGGGAGCTCGCTGGAACTCGCCGGCTTCATGCGACAGCAGTGACCGCGGTTCCTGGCGCCTGTGCCTAGCCAGGGCCTGTTCACAGCACAAAACACAGCCTGGCAATGATGCTTCCGTGTTAATGTTGCAGACACTTCACTCTTCCTCATCTGCAGTAGAGCCCCAGCAAGCCTCCAGCTGTTCCAGCGTGCCCCAAATGCAGCCCAGCAGCAGGACAGGCACTCACTGCCTCTCAGGACCTTTCTTCAAACACATGGTATGTACAGATCTGCAGCGTGAGCAGCGGGGAAACAGGACATGGGTGACGGCAGAAATGTGGCCTTGACATAAATGTGCCAATAAGTGAAAATACAGTCACTGTAACATCTTAATTTTTCCGCAGCTGTGGTCAGTGGCGCTGTCTGAAGCCCCAGGGGATGCACTGCACTCAGCAGGGTCTGCCCACATCCCAGGATCCGCTCCACGTAGACACACAGCTGAACGGGCATGCAGAATTAACTACACCTCGGCCCCGGGAGCTCTCCGAGTTCTCCACACCCCGCAGGCCAAATGGAGCTTGAAATCACTCCCTCTACTCCTTCTCTCTGGGGCAAGGCTGCCATCACAGAAAGCTGTTGTGTTTATTCTGTTCCAGGGCCATTTCGTTGACCAGCTGCTCTATGGATGACTGAATGGCCGCCTTCACGAGGGAAGAGGCGGTTTCTACAAGGAGCAACTCGTACTGCTCCCCAGTTCTGTGCCCTTGGTCACCCAGACCTTTCTCCTCTGCCTGGGGACCACCACCAGCCTCGGGGCCCTCTTTTTGACCAACATCAGCATTCCTGTTCGATTTTTTATTCCCTTTTTGCTTTTTTTGGCGCAAAACTGGGGATGGCTCATAGGCCTGGTCAGAGTCGGTGTTGTCGGAGTCCTCAGCTTCGGTGATGGTGATGACAATACTGACACCAGCACCTGTATTTGCTTCTAATATCTGACGGCTGGAGCATTCCTGCACACTCACTGCCTCCTGCACACTTGATACATCCTGTGCACTCACTGCATCCTGCACACTTGATACATCCTGTGCACTCACTGCATCCTGCACACTTGCTGACTCCTGCACACTTGTGGCGTCCTGCACGCTTGCTGTATCCTTCACACTTGCTGCACCCTTCACACTTGCTGCATCCTGCACATTCTCTGCCTCTTGCACACTCACTGCCTCCTGCACACTCACTGCCTCCTGCACACTCACTGCATCCTGTGCACTCACTGCATCCTGTGCACTCACTGCATCCTGCACACTCACTGCATCCTGCACACTCACTGCATCCTGTGCACTTGCTGCTTCTTGCACACTCACTGCCTCCTGCACACTCTCTGCAACCTGTGCACTCACTGCATCCTGCACATTCGCTGCCTCTTGGACACTCACTGCATCCTTCACACTCACTACATCCTGCACACTTTCTGCATCCTGCACACTTTCTGCATCCTGCACACTCACTACATCCTGCACACTCACTGCCTCCTGCACATTTGCTGCATCACCTCCAGATGCCAACTGACTGAAATCAGTTACAGACTCCTCGGCTTTGCACTCCTTGGGAAGATTTATGCTCTTTTCCAGTTCATCCCTTTCAGGCATCTCTTTGCAGGTATTAGGGATTTCCTGCCACTCTGTGATTTCAGGGATGTCAGGTTGGTCTTTAGGAACAGG